AATGCCGAGAGTCGGTTATATCCGTGATATGAAGCAATCCCGGGCGGCCGATTCCGATAGACGCGTTTATCGATCAGTCGATTCGTTCCTAATGGAAGTGTCGTCTGTTTCCGTCGAGTTCCGTGCGCGAAAGAGAGCTTAATATCGCGTACGCAATATAAACGAGCTTATTGTAGCTTTAGAACGTCGGACGTTCTAAAAGACAATGTGACATTTTATATATATTTTGTATAATTTTCAAATTTTTATCTTTCGATTTTTCGTATTTTTGGAAATGAAAAAATTATCTCTAAATTAAATCAAAGTTAAACAGTTGCCGTGTGTTACTCTGCGCATGTATTTGATAATCATTATGTAAACCGCGTTACGTAAATAATGAATTATTTATGCAACGGATGAAATTCTGAAAACAGTTTTTTTTCCAATTATTATTATTATTATAGATTGCCGCTGTCCAAGCATCATTTTATGCCTTATTATGCGATTTTATGAACTATATAATCGCAATATTTTTTTCCACTAACTACTGAAAACTTCGAAATAGACACAATATTATAATAATAATAAAAAACAAAGACACTTGAAAAAAGAGTAGTTTTTTAGTAAGATTATATAATTTAAAAGCATTCTTTTTATTTTTTATTTTTAGTCATTAATGTAAATTATTTTAAATTATCCTGAAGTTTTCTTTTAGCCATATTAATATTTAAGTCCACTTTAAACGAACCATAATTCGTAATAAAAAATTAAAATATAAAATTTTGTTTAATATTCTGTCGCAATTTATGTATCATCTAAACTTGGAGAAACTTTTAAGTGTGTATATTGCGTCACTGTCTTTTATTTTTTTATATATAATATACAATATATATACATTATATATTTTCATTGATATATTATTTTTAATGATAAAAAAAGAAATAAATGAATAAATGTGTTAGAAAGTGTCATTCTTATTTTTCGATTCTTGCAAAGTCCACTTCTAAATATGAGTGCGATCTTTTCGCTCTTTAGGGATTTCTGATTTTTTTAAAATGTACGAGTAGCGCACATTTTCCCGGACGAATGCATTCTCCGTAATATATGCAAACGATTAACCTTTGTACCTCTTTGACCCCGTTTTGTGAAACTGTGTGGGATTAAAAGGCGAACTAGTTATTTTGCGAACAATTCCTGACGCTTCCGCGTCTGGAGATTCCCAGTAGTTTACACGCGATACAATGCACTTACTTTCCCGGCGCGACGTATTACGCAACATTCCTTTCCCACGCGCTGCGAAAAAACGCTTTGCTAGTTTTTAACACGTTAGCATTCACCGTAACGTGGCTGACATAATCCGATCTCGCGTATGAATGCTATTATCCTAATGACATCAAAATAATTACATATATAAAGTTCTCTTTTGATCCGCGTATTAAAACGTGTTTTATCTCCCGTTTGACGTCGCTCTTGCTCCATTGTTTAAAAAATTAACTCACGTTACGTGAAAATATCATAGCTACGTAAAATCTTTAATGATAACATAACCGCGCGTGCAGTTGCAAAAGCTTTTTTATGAACTGCATGACAAATGAAATATCCGAGTTGAAATTTTGCTTCTATTTTCAGCCGCCATTTTTTCGTGTTTATGGATTTTAACGGATTTCTATAGGTCTAATTTCTATAGGAATTAAGCTCCTATTTTTTTATATCTCAAATATAGGTAGGAAACCAACAGTTTTCCATTTAGAGATTTCAAAGAAGAGCTTTTGATAAAAAATTGTCGATTAGTTTCAAAAGAGAGTGATCTGAGATTGTTTAAAGGATTAAAATAGATGTCGGATTGAAAATTGAGAGTGAAAGTAAGAGAAAAATGTCAACTGAGGCATCCTCGAAATCAGTTTCAACCAAGAGATCTTACCCTCACGTAACTGGCGTTGATGTACTCAGTCGAGACATCATTGTTCAGCTTCTGTAACTGCACCCTCGTCTCCGGAAGTGGTATTACGTTCGCATATCTATTCTTCACTTCCGCGCCCGGGGGCAACTCGTCTATCTTTCCTGAAACTTGGGGTATACCCGTGAACTCTTCGTTGATTGCATTAACGTCGTTACAGAAAGATGAAAGCCCGGCGAAGTTCAGGGGATGGGAGGGAATGGCGCTCTGAAATAAGAAAATATCTTTCGTAGAGACTTTGCTCGCATCATAGAAAGGAACGTGACCCCTCGCTTTCTTTGTTCAAGCGCTACAAGGGAAGATATATCGATCGTGAAAAATATTTAGAACTAAAATTTAATTGAATGGAAAAATACATACGATATCGGAAATTATAAGGCAACTTTAGTAGATTGTAATAAATCTGCGTTCAAAAATTCAAACATCAGAATAAATTATATTTTAGATATTAATAACCATATATATGTCATATAATTATTATATTTTAAATATTAATAACCACACAATATATGTAATAATTATTATATTTTGTATATAATGTTAATAAATATCAATAAAATAATATTAATAAAAATCATAAATATTTTCGAGAAATGAATCAAATAATTTCTTGCATAATTAAAAGGCAAATATGATTATTATTACTACAAATGCCGATAAATAAATGTTTTCAAGATAATAATTTATCGATGCATCTAATTTTATGATATATAAATATGTAAAAGAGATCTAGCTGTCTCTATCGAGGGCAGAGTTTGAAGTCTGCTAACAGATAGAATTTATGCAGAATCTATTACAAATTCAATAATGTTGGCAGAAATCTAAATCAAGCAGTCAATGTCTTGGCAATGGAAAACTAATGACAGCTTAATAACAGAAACTATATAGCTAAATTTGTTTTATAATGTATTGATTAAATCTATAGGCAAACTATTTTTATACTTCTATCATATAGCTATTTAAATATGAGCGATATATTATTCCTTAGCAATTATTTTACCTGAACGCGTTTTATTTAGATCTATACTTTCGTAACACGTACTAGCTATAAAAAAGAAAATTAATAAAAAATATGTAATTATGCTTTAAAAAATCATCCGCTTAAAAATATATATACTATTATATTCGAATAAAGTGACAGAATATTCTCCATCAATTTTTTCCTTGTTATCATAACAGTCTATATTTTTTAATCATATTCCATAAAAGTAAATATCTTTAAATATAATACATTTCTCTCTAGAAAAATATCTCTGACAAACCTCACAGCATATTGCAATCAATAGATACAGTTTAAATGTTATTATGAATTAATCCTTTCTCAAACTCACCGAATCTTCGAAGGTCGGGTTGCCGTAGCTTCTCTTGGAGGCTCTCACCGCACCTTTGCGCCTTACGCTGTTGTACGCCGAAACGCTATCGAGACTGTATGCATCTAAGGATACCGGTCGGCACCGTTCTCCGTAGTTGAATCTTGTTTGCCTCTTTCTCATTATAAACTGGAAATGATTACAGCTAAGATTAACGATCGTTGTATTCAAGCTAAACGAATGCTTGAAGCCCATCTAGCAGTTTTACTGTGGTCGCAACTTCGTACTTTTGCCGTAATAGCTACAAATACTCACAATGTCTCGAAATGCGGTGACGGTTAACTTAGTGGCCATGCACTGAACCGAAAACTGCAGTTCGCGTCAGCATGCAAAATATATTTATACAAACGATAAAGATGTGTCGCGAATTGTTATTAATCCTCGATTTTAATGAATATATTTATAAGATATACTGCCTTTCTCTTTTTTACCCTAATCTGTAATCTATTCTTGCTTTTCTGATTTCAATCTCTGGCAAACGATGATCGTGATAAAAGAATCGATCATTTGACGTAAGCAGTTTTGCATATAATTCGGTTTTTTTTATTTATTTATATAAAAAGAAATAATAGGATTTATGCGCTATGCATAGATAAATGCAAATCATAATGTCGATGATGTGTCAATTATAATTGTAATTTATGCGTTCCTTCTCGTTACGATTGAAAACAATGGCACAGTTTTATTGTCAATTACGTCATATCTGAAAAGAAAATGGTAGAAATCTGACGACGGTCAGCGAAATGAAGTAACGAGTTCGTGAAATGTGTGGCAGATGGGCTATTTCAACATCGTCATTCGCATGCACAACAAACGTAAGAAACGACATGACGCAGTAACGCTGATGAAGCGTGGAACGCCGATTGCTGGCCAATCTAATCAACTATTCAAGGCTGGGTAACCACATGCGCGAACAATATTTTATTTCTTTTTTCTGGAAAGAAGACGTGTCAGCCAATCTTTTTATCATTAATTATGTGTTATCACAATGCCGTAAATATATTTTATGTTTCACGGTAATCCCCCTATATGATTGCGCGTTCAACGAATTTTCTTCGTAATAAATTGCATCAATTACGATATTCTTTGTCGTTATTGGCTATCATTGTTTTATTTTATTTTTAATATTTATTTCTAATATTTTATATGATATCGCGTTAATATTTGCAGATATTTAAATATAAATTAAAGATAAATTTGTAAAATAATATAATCTCCTACATATTTTTTGTCTTTAGTGTAAAAAAATATTTTTGACGCTTAATTACTAGTTTAACAAAGTTGGCTGATCGATTCATTACGAAAGATTGCTTTTCCAACAAAGAGAATACAGTTTCGAAAATAGGACGATACCGTTAGATTTCCTGGAACGGAGTAGTAATTTTCTTTCTCTTCTTTATTAATTGATTCGTTAAGTTTCGTTGGTTTAGACTTTGCTTGATGTTCTACGACTATATTACACGTTCATTAAAATTAATTATTGCACGCTGCGCGAGCACTGTATTAATATTACCGATGAAAATGCTGTGCGAAGCATTTGATCTCGTAACGTTATCACAGAAATAATAATAAAAAATGTTGCAGCATTAAAATGTAAAAAAATGTAGGAGTAAAGTATATATAACACGAACAAGAATTATTGCAAACGTTATTTGTCGCGATCAATTTTTGCAATTTTTCGCGTTTTTGCTAATATTCAAAGATCCGTAAAGTTCTTCCTCCGTTATAATGCTTACGTAAACAAAATATCAATTACAGAAATAGAATCTATACATAAGTTTCTTAATTTCTTGCGAAACGATTAACTTGCATTCTACATAAGTTGTGTATATATATGCACGCATTATTATAAGCGTGATCAAAAAAAAAGAAAAAAATTATATAAGCCGCAATTATTTCATAGAAGTAAAAAAAAAGTCTCTCGTGTAAAACATTATGCATGCATTTGCATACTATCGCGTCATCCGCGCGACGAAGAAGAGAATATTGTCTTTCACCTCTTAGATGACAATTGACAACACACACACATAGACATATTATCATGAATTATTACGTACGTTGAAAGAAAATTATGGACAGACGAATGGAAGGACGGAGACATCGACATGTAACACCTCGCGAATGGAGATTTATCGCCATGCAAGCGCGACGCAGCAGGCTACGTCAATGAGCATAGATTTTCGCGGACCTGCGCAGCTGTATCTTTGAAACATTAGTATTTCCTGTTTCGATCCTTCGGTAACGTGCTACGTGACGCGTAAACACGGCATAAAAAAAAAAGATACGCATGCATTCACATTCAGAATTCTAAGATGAGACAGAGAAAGTTACCTATATATGAACGACTGAAGCTTTTGAGATTTCTCTCGCAATTATGTCTCGTAGAAATGTCAATCAAAAATTCAATCAGTCTTACCTACGTTACATGCAAATCGATTTCTAAAGTATGACGTATCTTTTATTTCGCATGAAAGATAATAACTCGATGTCACGTCAATAGGATAGAAACGTCAATCAATATATTCGTCAAAAGTCAAATACAATACCGTAGATATCTCTATTTTGAAAGCTGTTAAAAATAAATGAGTCGCATGCTTACCAAGAGTCCGGCTAGAAGCAGGAGACAAATGAAGGCCACAGAAGAGACCACAATGACAGCTATTGCGTTTCCGGAATCCGCTTCCGGTACCAGAAGAAACTTGTGTATCTGAAAAGGATCAATGATCTGAGGAAATTTAATAAAGAAGCTGCGTCGATTATACTGTTGTCTCTGACCGAGTGTGATTTCAATAACTTTCATATCGACGCAACGTCGATCAATTATGATATAACAGAGAAGGAGCGCTTCGCAGAGAAACATCTTTAACGTTAACCGAGAATTACTCCCGAGTTGATGAAAGATTCTCGGCTAATCAATGGAAATGTTAAATTTTAACGAGACGTATCAAAGCACAAGAGTTATAATAGACTTTCGCTGATATTCGACAGGATCCAGCACACAATTACTGCATATATTCTAATCCGCGCCCGATCTCCTCCGCCGTTTTCAACTTACTCTCACTGGGAAGTTGGGAGACACCTTGTATAAACTTGGTAGAATCTTCGTCATAGCGGCGTCAAATTTGCGGTCCTCATCAACGATGTAAACCAGAATCGAAGTTAGGGAACCGTCCATAGGTGTCGGAGACGAATTTGACGACTCGCGACAAGGGTTTTTATGAATGATGATTTGCTTCGGCAATACAAGTCTGTAGGACAAAGTATTGCATAGCATATAACGAGCGCAAAATATGTTGGTTGAATTCATTTTTTTCATTTTTTTTAGCTAAATAAATTTCATCTAAAATTTTCAAGTGTTGATATAAACGAAATAAACATTCTTTATGTGCTGCAAAGAATGTCATTTTATGTTAAAATAAATTTTTCCATATTCTCTATAAATTCCGAATATAAATGTGTAATTTTAAACATGCAATTTATCATTGTTTTAATTTACATTTATAAAAAATAATATTGCTGTTATAATAAATAAAAATTATGTATCTAAGCAAAAAAGATTTATGTCTAACAAATAACGGTATTTAAATTATTCATCGCATCAACATTTGATTCAAATATCTAAATGTGCGAAAAAGTTTTAATAATAAAGTTCTAATCATATTCTCAAAATATAAAATTAAATGTGATACAAATTAAAATATTTTTAATAATTAAAACATCTCCTAAATCGTAAGCTCTAATTAGACGATATAAATAATATCTAGTAAAGAAAAGAAAATTCGTGTCGCTCGGAATAAAGAAAAATTTCTCGAAACACTTACTTGTCCAAGCCGTTTGTGAGAATATCTGCAAGCGCCTTTCTTAAGTCCTGCAGCCGAGGACAGACCTCGTGCAGAGTACCATCGATGATAATTTTAAGCATCGTGATCTCGTCCGGCAATAGAATCTGGATATTTTCCGTTGTCTCTTCGTCAGGCAGTTCCGTGAAACTAGGTGTACTCCAGAGAATTCTCGTTTCCACGGTACTTGTGGCGAACGGAACTGAAGGGCTCTTCGTGGCTTTCGTTGTGACGCCTGAATCCGGCGCAAGTTCTATCGCGCCTGGGGCGAACGTCTCGGTGACGTTCGCGTTGAAACTTGAGTCCTTAGAAGGATCCTCTGAAGAATCCTCGGTAACGCCGGAGGCTCCTAAGGTATCAGCGCCTGCAGTGGCGCTCATGAGATCGATAACGCTTACAGTAACTTCGGAGTACTTAGTGAACTCCGTGCGATTGCTTTGGTCCTCAAAAGCGGTCTGAGTAACTGGAGGAGGATTTCTGGCTTCGGCAGTTTCGTTGTTGCGCTGAACGATCGATATCTGATCCGTCGTTGACGAACTGTCTTCGGTAGTCATCGGGAGTTCGGTAAACTCCTCAGATTTTGTCGTGGTGATCGCCTCGTCCGTTGAATTATTGGATAAATCTCGTATTGTCGTGATATTCGAAGGCATTGTCTGTTCCTCGAAGGTTCGCCCTTCTGTTTCTCCAGTCGCATTATTCGCCGAAAAAACTGCTTCCATGAGACTGATAAATTCAAATTCGACGGACGTAGTTGTCGGCATTCGCGACTCATCAGGGTTTAATGTAGTAGATGGAGATTCGGTGGTTCGATTAACGTTCGAGGAAGACTGCGGAGGAAGTAAGGTGACGTTCGCCTTCGTTGTCGATTCCGTGAAATTTTCGGAAACCGTCGCGACGGCCGCTGTGCTAATCTCCATTGCTGACGTCATCGAAGTTGTGGACTTGTTCGCTTCCGTCGCCACGTCTTTATCCAAAGGAACCATTGTGGATTCGGTGACGACGAGAGTTGATCGTATCATCATAGCTTCTTCCGGTTCCATCTGAATATCCGTATCCAGAGGAATTGTCTTTGATGTATTCGACATTTTCGTAAAACGCAATGATGATTCCGTCGTTTCGTTGGAATATGATTTCACTTCTTTGCCGTCCGAAGTTAAGCTGACTTCCGTTATTCCGTTGCCGGTCACATCGTAACCCTCGCCTTTAATTGCACTCACTTTCTCTGCCTCTTTTACACCTGACACGTCATTGTCGTTTGTTTCCGAGCCTCTCACCTTCGCGGCCTCACTTACGCTGTTGTTAAATCTCTCCGGAAAAGTTTCGTTCGTTGGTCCAACAACGGCTGAAACAATCGGGATCACCGTCACCGGTATCAAAGAAGAGAGGGTTTCCGTTGTGGAATTCGTGGATTTGTTAATATTATTCTTGTCCAGTTTCTGCTGTTGAATGCTGTTTTCGATCACTACCGAAGGTTCCGTGACGACAAACTTTTTCTCAGATTCTCCTCTTCCAATCGTGTTTTCGTAAGCTGATGTTTCTTCGGTAACGCCTTCAGTCTCCAATTTCGAACTGGCCTCTGTTGTCATCTGTAACAATTCTCCGCTGGATTTCAGGTAAGGATAAGGTTTCTGATCTATTCTTTCCGTGCTGGAAATGTTACGCAAACTTGGAGTGACCAATGATGCTTCGACTCTTCCGTCAATTTTTATCGAGGCTGTAGATTTCACTTCAATGCTCGAGAACTCGTTAACTTTAGAAAAACCGATAGTTCGGCCTTGCGGAACAGGACTAGAAGTGGCTTCATCAATAAATGAAGTCTGCTCTTTAAGTCGGATGCTCTGAGTCGTTGTTTCGGGCAATTTTACCTGATTCTCAGGTTTCCCTATTAATTTCCTTTCTTCCGTATCATCTGTACTCTCAATGGTCGTATTGATAGCAGAGGAGTTTTGTTCGTAGCGGTTTTCGTTTCCGGCGCCAGTTTCTTCTTTCTTCTTGATGTAAACGGCTTCTTCCTGATTGTTCAATTCATTAAAGTGCGAATCGTTTTTTGCGGTATCGTTTGTGGATACGATCCTCAATGTCGATTGTTGACTCACATTCTTAACGACTTCTACCTCTTCTTTCGGATCATTTTTCCCGTACAATTCACTAGCGTCAATGGAGTTGTTGCCCGAGCTAGTTTTAGGATTCTTCTCCGATGATGTTCTGTAAACATGATCGTAGTTTACGTACGTATCATGAATTAGCGAAATGGTTTCTTCGTGTCCCTTTTCATCAATTTTTTCCAGATCAAGCGCTTCGGACGCTGTTGTCCCTAAATCATTCGCATTTATTTTGGATCTTAAAGAATTTTCGCGCTTAATACCGCGCACGGTAGTCAATTCTCGATCACGACTCTCTAATTCCTGATCCTCTATCTTCAAATCAGCTGAGATTATATCTTTGTTCTTTTTCGATTCACTTTTCGAAACAATCTCCTTGTCAGACTTTATAATTTTGTCCTTCTTTTCGTCGGATTTGATATCTTCGATTACCGATTTCGAATACATCGAGGAGAGATCTCCTTCGATAGATTTAACGGTCGTTATTTCTTGTTTATTTACAGTTACATTTCTTTTGTCTTCGTATTTGGCAGAAGATTGCCCTTCTACGTGTTTAGATACTGACGTTTTCGTAAGATTCGCACTTAATTTCTCGTCGACAATTTTTCCTTCCGTACTTGGAGAGATGGTTGTATCGGATATTCCTTCATGGTTGGAAAATTCTTGAAGTGTGACGTTCCCAGAGTTCTTCTTACTGTCCTGCTTCGAGTCGTTGAAAGCCAGCTTCGTCGTCGTTACAGTCAGTTCGTTCGTGCTAGAGAGTCTGAGAGCATCTTCGGAGATGACCTTTGTGCTGGTGCTTTTCCCGGAGCTCTCAGCGGCGATTTCTTCATATCTTGGCTTTCTGTTCCCATTTGACGACGACGAACCCTCGGATTTGTCGTTCGATTTTGTCGAATTCGCATGTATCGTGTCGCTTACGTTACGCGACACATTGCTTTCCTCTACATCCTTACTCGCGTTGTTACCGTTGACACTGTCATGCGATCCATCTTCATCATTATGAGTTTTTCGATTCGCCAAATCAGTATTACGTCCATTTTTTTCCGCGACTGATTGATTCTGATAGATTGAAGAGGTCCTTGTTAAGATCGTCGTGGCTTCTTGGGGAGTCGATGCTTTTTGGGAATCAGATTTTTCTGACACTACAGTGGATGCTTCCGTAACCTCCGCGACCGCATTGCCAAAGAGCAGCAGAAATGTTCCTGGAAATATGTAGTTTAGTTTTAATTTTAGAATTATATTTCGTTTCGTTTTATTTTCCCAATATAATGATTACTTTATATTTGTAATCGGTTTTTGTTCCGATTGTATGTATTATATTAATCGTTTATTTTACCTTTTTGCCATCATTATTTAGGTAATTTATATTATAATTTTGCAAAACACATTTATACTTTCAAGATATAAGCGAGAAAATTTCCATTAATAAGTTGCCTCCGACTTGCCTCTATTTTCTTTGCCTGAATTTCTTAATGATACATTTGACAATAAAATGGTTGTTTATGGTAATGACCGCCGCAATAAGCGCGATCGCTAACGCACGAAAACAGAAGTCAACCACAACGACAACTGGTTTCGTCCGGCGAGATGTGCAAATAAAAATGTAACGAGCGTAGATGAAACGTTTAATGGATCTAAAAACCGGTTATCCGTGGAATTGCCAGCAGGTTCTTTCGTTTATTCACGCGAGTCTCTACGATACAGTTCTACGGGAAATTGAAAGCTCGCGCGACAAGCATGCGTTTGAATATTAAGTAGATCTCGGAATTATGCAGGTTTCGACTGTGTGTTCACGTTTCTCGCTGATGTTACTTTAATTTAATCTGCAGAAAATAGTGCACAGTGAAATTTAGGGATCATTGGCCAATAAGAACTCAGAAGTTCAGGATCTGTCAGGAACTTTTCGCCGATCAAAATAATTTAGTAGTTTTATTAGAATAAAAACGTTTATTTCAAGATATTAGCTATAAATCTTCTCTTCTTTCTCGCTCTAGAACTGTTTGGCTTATCGTGGAATATGAGGACTGACAATTAAATTCGTAGAAAATATTTATTACAATTACAGAACACACTTATTCGTTATCTAATACACGGTCCCCTTTAAAATAGTCCCTTCCTAAAGCAATGCACATGGTCCAAAAAAATCGGTGGAGATCAGATCGGGCCCTGACTTTTTTCTATTTCCCAAAATCAAGAAAGACATGAAGGATCGTTATTGGGGGTCACGAGCGGAGGTGGAATGGATGACGCGTGCTCTAAACAGCCTCATAGAGGATGATTTTAAAGTCTGCTTTCTGCAATGGAAAAAACATTGAACCGATTCGTTATCTGATACACGGTCTTTTTTAAAATAGTCTCTTCCTAAAGCAATGCACTTGGTACAACGTTTTTTCCATTGCAGGAAGCAGTCTTCAAAATCATTCTCCGTGAGGCTATTTAGAGCACGCGTCATCCATTCCACCTCCGCTCGTGACCCCCAATGACGATCTTTCATGTATTTCTTGATTTTGGGGAATAGTAAAAAGTCAGAGGGGGCCGATCTGTCCTCCTCCGATTTTTTTCTATTTCCCAAGATCATGAAAGACATGAAGGATCGTCATTGAGAGTCACGAGAGGAGGTGGAATAGTTGACGCGTGTTCTAAACAGCCTCACGGAGAATAATTTTGAAAACTGCTTCCTACAATCGAAAAAACATTGGATCAAGTGCATTGCTTTAGGAAGGGACTATTTTAAAGGGGACCGTGTATTAGATAACGAATAAGTGTGTTCTGTAATTGTAATAAATATTTTCTACGAACTTAATTGTCAGTCCTCGTATAGCACCATGATCTCTGGTGGTAGGAGATCGAATTACAGCAAGGCAGATATTCCGCACGTCATAATAGAATCATCAGTTGTATAATACTAAAAAAAAAAGTTAATAATGACGGAAGTTGGCAGATTTTAACAGTGATGTGACAAGTGAAGCCAGGGCAACCATTTGCAATTGAACAGAATACAGGATGAGGCATCTAAAACAGGCCACTTGAATAACTCGATTACTTTCTTCTTTTCTCGGCGGCATCTCCCTCACACATCCACCTACAAAAAAACTATTGACATCAGATATGATCCCTTTGAAACCAAGCAAAATTGGTCTGATGCATTCTTTTCTATCGCCAAAAGCAGTCGAATTATTCAGGTGGCCTGTTTTAGATGCCTCACCCTGTATATGCATACAGAATATCCGAAGTCAATCGCATCACCTGTCGTATGCAGATAGAGCGGGTTAAATCGAGGAGAAAAGTCCTTTACCATTTTGCGATTTTCGTAATAATTATTGAGAAATTAATTAGAAAAGATCGGCCAATGCGCGCTGTATACATATAATAACAAATTAAAAAAAAAATAATTATCATAAATGATCATTATTTTCACAGATTAATGTACTGAACAATGATTAATGATTAAGTTTAATGTACAGAACAGATTGTAGCATATTTACTGGGAATCCAATTTTGTCTTTTTATCGCATTCAACCAGACCATCAATCGATTTTTATCTTTGAAGGGAAAGTTGCAATATTTCATAAAAAAGTTTTGATTTATAAATATTTGATGCATATTTAATAACACATAAAAATAGTTAAAGTTTCTAAAAAATAAGAGAAACAGGTTATATGTACTTACTTATGAAAAAAATTGATATTTCTTTTTTTAGAATATCTAATTACACAGCTAAGTATGTTACACAAATCATTGACATTTTTCTTACATGTGCACTATACAGGGTGTCCGACAAGTAAGTGACCAAACGAAAGATGGAGTTAGATTGGGTCAAACTAAGTCGAAAAATCTTGAACCATTTTTTTTATAACGCTTAATAGAGGAATTATTATTGAGTAAAGTCTAACCAATCAGCGCCAACCTTTAGCCGGTCGCACATCGGTGAGCCGCGCGCCGTGAAGTGTGCGCAGCCACATACTACCAGGCGCGCGGCTCACCGACGTGCGCCCGGCTAAAGGTCGGCGCTAATTGGCCAGATTTTACTCAATAACAACTTCTTTATTAAGCGTTATAAAAAAAAATGGTTCAGGACTTTTCGATTCAGTTGGACCCAATCTACCTCCACCTTTCGTTTGGTCACTTACTTGTCGGACAACCTGTATATACTTGATATTTTTAGTTTATTTATATTTTTTTTAATGTTTTAAATGTACATGTTTAAAAAATAAATGAATGACGTTTGAATGACATGAATCGATCGAATATCGAATTCGTATAAATATTCTATCCAATTATAAATGACTGATGACTGTCCTTGCTTCACATGTTATATGAAATATAGCCGTGTTCAGTCACAGTTCGTGTCACAGTCTAATATATTATATAAAAGTCTGTGGAAAAATAAATTAAAAAAAATACGATGCTACATATCCCTAACCTGCCAAACTGACTGCCTTGCCGCCGCTATATTAATTAAGCCATGCCCCTATGTCAAATCCCAATACTATTACTAGGAATGTCTGCCAGTCGTGAACCACTGGCATGAGGGTTAACTAAAGATCTAAAGTTTTTCTTCAGAAGTAGAAAGTGATTGTGGTTTTCGAAGTTAATGTATGATGCTATAAATATAGGCGCCTCAGATTTTTATTATCAGTTCGCAAAGATTTATTTTACTGATACATGTATCTGCTTGAGGATATTTGCAATTCCATTTTAAACATTTCAGTAGCGTTTCAATTGATTGTCGTATCAGGTGAATCTCTTAGGTAATCGGCAGTATTTATATAAATAAAAAATTTTGTAACATTTTATTGCAAAATCTAAACAATATTTAATAATATTACAATGAGTGTGAATGTGTTTTTTACATAAGTTTTCTCAAATACCGCAAGTTGTTAGCTTGGTTCGATTGTTATAATCTTATTAAAGGGGCATACCCGTTTAAAACCTCGAAAATGAGCATATTTTCTAGATTTTTTTGCAGAGCAACGACTTGATAAAAATTTTTAATTTTTTTACGATATTAATACAATATTATTAACTATCTAAATAAAAATAACCAGCTTAAAAAAAGTTTTTCTTTTTAATTATGGGAATTTGCAAAGCTCCTCCAAATTTTAGGTGGCTGCATGGTGTGCATGAAAACGTTCGTAGATCATATCCGAAATCAAAAACACAAGCTTTTTTATTAAATATATTAATATCTGTTATCCAAGCGTTTTTTCAAAATTTTAGAAAATAGAAAAATGGCAACGTGTTGAAAAAAAGTTTCGTTTTTTTTTTAAAAAAAGTCCATCTTTTTTTTATAACAAAGAAATGAGGGATCGGATTAAAAAAAGGCAGATGCGGAATCTTATTAGAAACTCGCATATAAAATTTGAAGTCAATGCACACTGTGCATGAAAACATAAATTTGAAAATATTCGCATCTCTTAAAAAAAAATTTTTTTTAAGCTAAAAATTTTTATTTAGGTACTTAATAATATTGTATTAATATCGTAAAAAAAAAGTTTTTATCAAATCGTTGCGCTGCAAAAAAATCTAGAAAATGTACTCATTTTTTGAAGGTTCAAACGGGTATGCCCTCTTAAATGTATATTATATTATTTTTACGGAAATATTTTTAATAATTAAATAAACAACAAAAACAAAAAAAAAGACTTATAACGTGTATTCAAGGATCAATAAAACAGTAAGCTGAAGAAAATCAAGCTTAATTAAACGATCAAGAACGTCACATCAAGAAACGATGTTTATCACTATATTGTTATTATCCATGTTTATTTTATTGATATATTATTATTACGTACATTATGGAAGAAACGGGCGACTCCTTAATCTTTTACCTGGACCACCGAGCGATCCGATTACTGGTAATGCATTTCAATTTTCAAATATGTTTCAGCAGGTAAGTATAAAATTTCTAATCTATTTATTTATATTAATTGACAGACGACTCGTCATTCATGCACATAAATTAAATTCATAAAACCATGTGTGTCTGGAACGTATACCTAACAAAAGTATCCGCATGCAGATTACATATCTTAGCTGATCTCTCGGCAATATCCATTTGCAAATCATTATCATAATTATTATTTGTCTATTTTTAATTTCTAGTTATTATTTGTCTACACGTATTTGAGTAAAGATGCAATAAAATAACGATAAAATTAATCCCATCAAAATTTTGGTACCGATATTTATAATATATTTT